TGCAGAACGAAGATATAAAATTAAGCGGATTCCCTGGGCTTGGAGGTGGTCACGTTATCCTATCTTGAGGAAAACATCTTGGTGCGAGTCCTGACTTATCAGGCTTCTTTATTTGGTATACACATTTTTCGCAATGTGACCACCTTGGGTCACCATTTTTGTGTGCCTGTGAGCCTAAAAATCGGAAAATTAGGCTCTTGCCTGTAATTATATCATTTATTAGGTTAATTCTTGTGAATAATTTAATTAATTAACTTTAGACAATAGCACCATGTTCTCCAAAGGTCGGTAGGGAGGATCGCTAAAATAGCAGTAACTTTAATCGAACCCTATCCAATTGCCTTACCCACCTTACCCACCATTTGAAATGTGCTTTAATAGCAATATTTAATTTGCCCTGAAGTTCAATTACCAGAAAGACAAAGAGGGTATAAACGAATGAATATAGGAAATGGAGCGGGAACTACTTGTGGCTGTTGGATGGACTTAAGTAGAGAAGGCAAGAAGGGAAAGAGAAGAACCACTGAGTAAGCGGAGGAGGCTTGAATAGATTCGACATGACTTGGACTTTTTAATGTGCACAATAGGCAATACCAATAGCGTAAAAAGTTGAAGGATCATAGGTTCGCTTAAAAAGGCGATGAAACAGATGCCTATTCATTTTAAACATGAAATAGCTGACCAAATTACGGGAGGCCTCATTAGGATCCCTAAGTTAAGCATAAGAAGTGAGGGTGATTGCATCAGGCCACTCATATTATATTAGCTTCACTTTGCGACAATGCTTTGAGACAATTTCACGAATTCCTTCCAACCGACTTTTTCACCGAAATGCAAAGTAACTTCACAACAAATTGCTGAGGCATTCCTCAAAATTCAGTTTTTCTTCATAATAAAAATAATACCATAAGGTATGATGGTGTGTGAATAGATGTGTGAATAGCCAAGGGCAGAAGGGGAGATACCACAACTGTTTAGCACACGTTTGGTCAAAGGATGGGCTTCACTTGTCTCTTTGACAAGTTTTAATATGGTGCTACGAATGGGAAGACTCACTGACGATGCCGACTACAATGCCGGTGAAACGTCTGGGAAGGTATCACGTCCCCGGTCCTACTCTGGAAATGATGATGCATACAATGGACTTTGGACTAGGTGCGTTCCTCTAATTCTTCCTATCAATATGACCGAGTTGCGAAAACAAGGTCAAATAACTTCAATACCATAGGGGTTTTATCACATCTGAAATTCGTCATTTGTCTTGACGAGTGATGCATTCACTGAGGGTGACCGGTCCAATTAACGTCAAATCCATTTTAAGGGTAAGGAATAAGGGTTGACGTGAGTTTTAAATCACTGGATGAATTACAGCATGCCTTTAAAGTTTAAATGTGTACAGTTTTTCGCATGAAAACGAAGATTAATGAGTTTTCTCTAACACATGGATATCTAGATAAGACATGCTTTTTACTCATTTTATATACTCGTATGATAACACACAAATTTATAAACTAAATGCACATGTAAGAGATTACTCAAATTGATAGTTCTGTGATTCAAATAAAGTAAATAATGGGGAATATGCTTCTGGTGAGTTAAATATAATTCAGAATTATCTGTTTTTGTGAAAGTGACCTAAAAGAGTAATTGGGTAGACAACCGAACGTGAAAAGATGACAGGATATTAGAATGACCTCAAATCATAGTTGGCAAAGAGCTTTGAAACTATGGTCGTATAGAAGTGGGTTGACCTCGTTATCGCAACTTGGTCTTGTTATCAGGGCGTCTGCCATTCTAGTTGTCATGATTCCCAGCATCAGACAGTGGACTTGGTACATTCTCAAACGTTTCGCCGGCAACACAGTTGGCATCATCACTAAGTGCTGCCATTCTCCGCACCAAGCTACGAACTCATAAATAGACAAGTGTAGCCAATCCCTCGACAAACGTTATTCCGAAAACGGTTACCCTATCACTCCTCTTTAAGTCCTGGCTTATCTATCTACTCTTTACCCTCTTCTCCCACTATGGCCCGATCACAACTTCTCACTTGTTTACATTCCAATTGTCAAAATGTGTGACCTTTTGTGGCAAATCTAGTGTGGCTAGTGTTGCTATTCACC